CAATCTGTCACCCATTTTTATATCCATGACTTTTGCTATGTTGCTTTGTATTTTATTTTACTGAGCAAGCTAAGATATTGTCTCTGCTCTTTGTTCTTATTCTGTTATATTTCTTGCCCTGTCCCATCGGCAGATGCAGCACACATGGAGACAGAGAGCCTCATTACAATCTTCTTTCTGTTGTTCCTGCTCAGGTCTGTGGCTGTGTGCTGGTCAGCAAGCAGACTGGAATGGGATGCACTCACTTTCAGAGATAATTTCATTGACTGTGTTGAAGATTCCCAAGTTGGAACTTGAGAGATCATTAGGTCAAATGTATTATTGAATTCACAGGTTAACACATTCTGAATTTATGCTTTCTAAAGATTCAATGTTCTATAGCAGCTGTAGGAGAATTATTTCTTTGGACTATGTAGGTTTTGGTATAAGTGACTTACTCGAGTGGCCACATAGCCATGAACATATAGCCAGCACAAACTGGGTTTAGTGGCTTATTTTTAAACTCATGAAGTTAGAAGGTGAATGTTTGGCTAAATGGATGAGTGGGAAAGGGAAGTTGTGGATAAATATGGTTACACTTAATGAAATATTTAAGACTAGAGAAAATGGTAGTTATTTTCAGACAAAATGATTCATTACCTTTGTAAATATTCTCTAAAATCTTTATTCAGGTAGATAGACAAAACTGGGGAACCACGCTGTGATTAGAAATGGCAATGTGCACACAGAAATGCAGATTCTTGAGAAATGTTACTTGGCAGTGTTAAATAATTGCTGCTCTGAGTCCATCCTTGAAGCCAAGTGGGAAACTGCTTCATTTATTTATTTATTGTCCATAGAATTCTAAGAAACCAACATTTCTCATTAACGCCATGCCCACTTTAAGCAACTCAATGAACTAAAGTCCAGTTCAATCAGTTAATTCCAGTGGACATGGCTAGTAACCAGCAGTAAATTAATAACTTTATCAAACTTGTTCTAGATATCCTCTCTCTTTGGTACAGACATATGACCTTTTTCTAGTTGGGATTTGGCTGTGTGCAACATGATTTTTATATAGGTAAGTTTCCATATTTTTATTATAATAACATGCAAAATGATGGTTAATAAAGAGTATGTAATTGTGTCATCAAAGCCAAAAGAGCTTGATTTTGGTTAAAAAATAAAAATATTATTGCTTGTCCTGGTGTTTACTAGGCAGGATGAACATGAAAGAATTAACAGGAATATGAGAATTCCTATTTTTAGATCTTATATTACTCCCTTCGGGCAATGTGAGCACAACTACCAGCTTCCTGTTGAACATCAATAGCTTTCTATTGCACTTCTCTATCTTTACTTTTTAAAAATAAAATCTTGATGGATTACAATGCCAAGTTTTGATGGTTTATGGATCAGTTTCATGATTTATCCACAACGTAGAATGCAGAAGTATAATTCAGTGTATGCAATTAATGTATATGTCATTTCAAACATATAGACATTTCAGTTAACTCAGTTCATTTTTTTAACTAAAATGATACAGTAGTTTTGTAGCGTCTACAGGACCTCATTAGTACAGGCCCTTTGGAATTTTACAAGTCAGGTGTGAGTCTAATAAATCTGGCTTTACATATTACTTGGACCTTTTCCCTTGCTGCTTTTAATATTCTTTCTTTGTTCTTTATGTTTAATGTTTTGATTATTATATGGCAAGGGGATTTTGTTTTCTAATCCAATCTATTTGCTGTTCTGTAGGCTTCTTATACCTCTTTATAACTTCATTTAGGTTGGGAAATTTTTCTTCTGTGATTTTGTTAAATATATTCTCTGGGTTCTTGAGCTATGTGTTTTGTTTTTTTTTGTTGTTGTTGTTGTTTTTTCTATTCCTATTATTTTATGTTTGATGTTTTCCTAGTATCCCAGATTTCCTGGATGTTTTGTCTTAGGAAGTTTGTTGATAAATCTATTCCCTCTTTTGTGTAATCAACACTTGACATACTCTCTTCCATCTCTTGTATTCTGCTTTCAATGCTTGCATCTGTAGTCCCTTTTCACTCACCCAGGTTTCCTACTGTTTATATTTTCTTTATTGCTTCTGTTTCCATTTTCAGATCTTGAATAGTTTTATTCATTTTGTGCAAGTTTTTGTTTTTCCTTGGGTTTGTTTTTTTAGGATCAATTCTATTTCTTCTAATTTTTGTTTGTCTTTTTCTCAATTTCTTTAAGGGACTCTTTTGATTTCCTCTTTATAAACTCTATCATGTTTATCAATTGATTTTTAATGTCATTTTCTCATGGTTTGGCTGTGCAGATTGTTCAGGTCTTGCTGTTTTAGGACAGTTAGGCTCTGGTGACGCCATTTTACTCTTTGTGTTATTGATTGTATTCTTATACTGGCATTTAGGCATCTGGATTTGGAATGAGTGTAGATCTAGGTTTTGATTCCTGAATTTGTCTTTGTTGGATGGGTGTTTTGTTAATTGGTTTCTCTTTCCTCTTTGGTCTTCTGACCTAACTGGCTAAGGGTTCTGATGACTAGTATGCCTTCAGACCCAGTTATGTTGTTCCCTCTGGAGATTTTTGAGGCAAGGGATCCCTATATCTGGCCTGGTCCAAAGTTGTAGACCAGACTATGGAACCCAGGGTAGGGGATGCATTCTGGGGATTTTAGATATGGTCTGGCCTCTGGGGGTCTCAAGAACCAGCCTGGCCTCCAATACAGCTGCTGGGGCTGTGGTCTCTAGATCTGGCCTGTGTTCTTGTAAAGCAGAAATCTGCTTCTGACCATGTAGGACTTGATATGGAGCCCAATGGAGTAAGGAAGTACAAGCCAGGGTTCCAAGATCTTGCCTGGCCCCTGGTAAAGCTGAAGAATTCTTCCAAAGTAATAGCATGGGATTTGGAGCCCAGGGGTGGGGGTGAAGTCTGGGGTTGCTGGACAGACTAAAAAGGATTAAGTTGGCAGTGGGTGGTACCATCTTTAGGGTCCCTAGTACCACCCTGGCCTCTGGCAAAGATGCCAGCAAGGCTATGGGCCTTAGTGTGGAGTTTATGGTAGGGGGTTACTCTAAGAGTATATTTTTGTCTGCATCCTGATAATTTCTATCACATAAAAACATACATGCTTATGCTTCTCATTTATACAAACATATCACTTGAAAAAACCAAGGGTAAACAGTTTTCAGTGAAATTATTTTCCAATGGTAGGTGCTACCTTGTTCCCTTAGCTTTGTATTGTGAATAATTTTGTAAGAAACATAAAAGACAAATTTCAAGTTGTCTTTCTTTGGGTTTAGAATCAGAAGTGGGACTGATGAATTTTTAAAATGTTCTTGAAGAATATCTCCACAGTATTATTTTTAGTTGAGAGAATGATTTTCATTGCAAACCTTCAAACTATTTATCAAAATTGGTACTTCTATTAGTTCTCTCTCTCTCTCTCTTTCTCTCTCTCAATCTCTCTCTCTCTCTCTCTCTCTCTCTCTCTCTCTCTCTCTCTCTTTATGAAGAGCTGCCCTAATATGTGAAGGGAAGTGATTATCATTGTTGCTAGAGTTGGTTGTGATATTCATTTCTCAGACGATTTGGGTTATAAAGTTCTTTTAAAAGTACCTAGCTATAAAAGGAATGTGACACACACACACACGCACACACACACACACACACACACACACACACACACACACACACACACATACACATCATATGGGTCTACATATAGATCTGATATATATTAATAGTTTTTATTTTTAAAATTATTTTTATTATCCAGGTATATAAAGAAGAAACTCTTGCTACATATAAAATTATAAACAACACAGAAGGTCAGTATTCTATATGAAAATAACAAAACATTGAAAGGAAAATACTGTTTGATTTGAATTATACGAGTAATCCAAAACCATTGAACATACAAGACCAAAAGGTAGAATAATGCTTTCAGGTGACTGAGGTAGGAGATGGGAAGATGTTTTTGTATGGATGACACCACAATGATGAGACAGGTAAGCTGTCATTATATAAGGCACATGTACACAGTGATGGAAATAGAAATTAATATAATTAGAAATATTATGTAACCATGACACTTTAGGTCTTGAATATATGTAGTCTTCATTTGTATATCAGTATCTCTTCTCCATTTTTAGTTGTATTCATTAATTGTGCAAAGTAAAATTTTGTTATGACATTTTATATATGTAATATTATATTTTGTCATCTTCAATCCTCTATTGTTATATTCTGTTCCACAAAACCCTTTACTCTACCTTTGGATCCTCCTATTTAATGTGTTATCTCTGTTGTTTGCTTTTTCTCATTAAAGTATTATTGTTACATATACACATACATATAAATACAAACAAAATGTGCTGAGTTCACATACTGTTGCTCATATATATGCTGTTAGGGCTGGTCACTTTGCACTGCACAACTACTTAGGGGTTAATTGCTGAAGGAGACAGAGTCTCTCCCTCTCAGCAGTTACTGATTACATAAAGCTCTTCATCCAGGTGTGGGGCCTTGTGAGATTTCCACCGACAATGTTGGTATGATAACTGATATTGTCTTTGTTCAGATATTGTTTACACTACCATATTTTTTAGACAGGGTGTAGATTCCCTGTCCTATAAAGAAGACAGGTACAGGAGCAGAATAGCTATGAGTTTAATAGCTATTAGCATCCTTTAAAATTATTTATCAAGAGCTGAGAAAAATCAAAACATTGCAAGTTAACTGTATTTATAAACTGGTATTAATTCAATGCAGTTGCCAAATCAGGGACTTTGTATTTGAATTTTCTGTCATTATGAAATTAAGCATACTGGTGTCAATGTTGCAAAGAAATTGAAGTGGTTTATTTTGTTTTAATATTGTGTTTTGTTGAGACTATTTCAAATTTCTGAATTTTTGGTCCAGAAAAGTAAAAAACATATTTTTAAATCCATTAAGTCACCATTCTGAATTTGTGTTTTCTATACCACAATGCCTATGATTCTACCAATGGCTTTTTCAGAATAGCCATGGCCTTTGATGAAATTATACACCATGTAGGTGACAGTGGAAGATTCCAGATTTTGAGGATTGTCGTTTACATCATTTTGTCTTTGGTGTCATCCTCTCATGACTTCATGGAGAATTTTACAGCAGCCATCCCTGCTCATCATTGCAGTGTTAAACTTCTTGACTATCCCAAATCTGAAAGTAATGTCACCATGAACTTAACTACTGAAGCTCTACTGAAGGTCTCTATCCCAATGGGCCCAAATCAGAAACCTGAGCAATGCCGACGCTTCCGGCACACTCAGTGGCAATTCTTAGATTCCAATGTATCAGTTTCTAACAACACAGAGCTTGAGACCGAGCCATGCCTTGATGGATGGACATATGACCGCAGTGTTTTCACTTCTACCATTGTTACTGAGGTAAGATATTTACATCTAGTGATGTCTAGTGAATTGACTATGGAGCCCTGAGACCAAGCAACAAGATGTAAGACAGTTTTCACAAAATATTGAGACCTTGGAAGGGTATATGAAGCCGTGTGTGTGTGTGTGTGTGTGTGTGTGTGTGTGTGTGTGTTTTCATATAGTTTTGTAACAGAAATATAGCTTCAAAGTTAAGATTTGTAGTCTTTTATCATTGACACATGTTTCCATTCCTATATTTATACTTCATGTGTATTTTTCCTCATGATGATAACACTATCTATCATTCTACTAAACATTTAACTGGATGTACTAATTGCATTGAGATATTATGATTAGTAGTGTATCGTCAGGACTTGGCTTATTTTGGTAAAAAAAATATAGATCTAGTATTTACTGTTAAGCAGCTTTATGTTTCAGTTTATTAATATTTAAGGAAGTGTCATTTTTATAACATGCTTTTAGGGAAATTTCTTGTTAATGCCATCATCTGAATATAATCATTCGAAAGTCTAATTTTCTGCAAAAGATAACATCTATTTAAAGTTAGAGTGTTTCCAAAGGATGACAATGAATTCATAGAACACTTAAAATCATAAGTTCTCTGAAATAATTGCTCTGAAAGGAGTGGGTTCTGAAGGTTGCCATCTATATCTATACTGGAATTTGGGCTGGTTTTATATTTCGCATATCTTGAGTAGGTAATCATAGCTCCTGTGACTTCATGAATTAGATAGCTATAGTATGTTCAGAATATAGAATTTCCCCTGAGCTTTGGTGGCTGCTGGTGGTTAACAGAGATGTAAATATGCTATATTTAGGGTTTAACAGTCAGTCTTCTTTTCTAAGCTATTGACTAATTATATGCCTCCCCATTTAGTGCTGCCTACTGCTTAAAGAAGCTTCTTGGGGGCAATATCAAGAGCAGTTAGGCTTATATGTATACACATAAATATTTAGAAGTGTTGTAGTTTATTCTTTTGGTGTGATAAAACACTATAACCAAAGCAATTCATTAAAGAAAGTTTAATTTGGCTTATGGTTTCAGAGGATCAGAGTCCATAATGGAGGAGTGAAGGAACATCTGGGAGTTCATACTTGATCTACAGCCACATGGCAGCATTGGGAATTTAATTTTGAAACCTCAATTTCCACTTCCAGTAACACATGTCCTCCAACAGGGACACACCTCCTCATTCTTCCTGAACTGTTCCACCAACTCCGAACCACATATTCAAACACAGGAGTCTTTGGACTCATTCAAATCACATGGAGGCAATTTGACATTATAAGCATTGAGTAAAGTAACAATAACAGATTCCACCTTATGGCCTATGATCACTTTAACCCTGGGCTTTTGACTTGTATTAAGTAGGCTCTGCTCTAGGGCCAATCACATGTTTAACCATAATTCACCAAGGAAGTAACACTGTCAGAATTAAAAATCAATTATAGACTACTTTTCATTATCATCATGTATATTATCTGGTTATAATTGAGGCATCTTTTCAAATACTATATATAATTATTCATGTTATGACTTTTTAATTAATCTTTTACAGTGGGATTTAGTATGTGATTTTCAATCATTCAAATACTATGCACAAACCATCACTATGACAGGACATTTGGTGTCTTGTCTCATATGTGGCATTTTTTCTGACAGGTAAGTTTCTTTTTTTTCTTTTTTTTTTCTTTTTTACACAAAGAACCATGTATAAAACTGACTTGAAAGACTATACATTTTTATTGAAATTGTGATCATTGAAAGAATCTAGGTAGATTGAATACAGTATACATGATGGATATGTTTTCAAAAGCATACAAAGCTTTGGAAGATTGAAATTAATATTTCAGGCTCTCAACTGATATAAACATTGAACTGACCCATAAGGAATTGAAAGGTGGTAGATGGGGAAAAAGGTAAGGGGGGCAAAAGTGTGACAAAAATCCATGTAGCAAGTATGATTAATGAAAAAAAATAGCATAGATTTAGCAATGAGAGAAATAGTCAAGAAGCTAGATTTGTAAGACTTGAATTGTCATTTTCTTCATAAGTTTGGTGTACAGGATGGTCAGAAAATTGTGGCAGCTAATAAAGTTACGTGCATTTTCACATTTAAAAGTTATATAATATATTTAAATTATTCATTTATGAAAATTCATTTTCTTCAAGTTTATAGGAAAGTTTATAACAGTAGGCTAAAACAATTTAGTATGCTGACTGCCTAGTAAAATTTCTAGAAAGAAAAGTGTAGAGTTAAGAATAGATAAATACAGCTAGATTAATAATGAGGCAGATTTTAAAACAAATGGATTTAGAATAATGTAATGTTGTTAGCTTATGTTAATCATTAATATTAACAAGGAAGTATAGTGATGTATTGTTTATGATTTATTGAAGCCACTGGAGACCAAAATATCAAGGCAGCCATACTATTGATCCAGGACTCAGGAGACAAAGGCAGATGGATCTCTGTGAGTTCAAGGCCATACAGGGCTACAAGAGATTGAATCAGTCTAAAATCCTAGCACCTGGGAGGTAGAGACAGGAGTTATAAGGCTGGGCAGAGAAATGAATAAAAGGAGGAGACAGGAACTGAGAGTGTTTGCCTCTGAGAATTCATGGAGACAGCATTGCCATTTCAGCTGGGTAGAGGTTAAGGTCTGGTGGCTTGGCAGCTTCGCTTCTCGGATGGTCAGCTTGAAGCTTGAACCCCAATATATGTCTCAGATCCTTTTATTTTTCAAGTTACAAGGAAGGATAGAATTCAATTAGTTGTGTGAACACTCTTTGGAAGAAAGAAAACAGTGGTAACAAAATGGTAAGCCTAGAGAGACGGCTTAGTAGATAGAGTGCTTGCTGATCTTTCAGAGTACCACAATTCATTTCAGATGCCCTATTCTGGTCTCCATGGGTACCTGCATGCATCACCACACACACACACACACACACACACTTCTTTAAAATAACTTAGAATATAATCAGTGTTCTGGCTAAGATCAGAAATAGAGAAATGTGCTTTATTAGATACATAATGATAGTGACTGTACATTGATATTTATGTAGATATATGTGACTTAACTGTTTTGTTATGGTGGTATAGGATCTCAGAAAACAAGGATCTAAGAGTAATAAGGATTCTTTGGGAATGTGCTAATGTGTAAATAATCAGTTGTCTGAGTTTTCACTATAATTACTGTTACTCTAGGTTTGGAAGGAAACCATTCTTGGTGTTTTCTTGCTTAGCTTATGGAATTTTGGGCTCCTGCTGTGCCTTTGCGTCAAATTTCTCCCTTTACTGTGTTTTAAGATTCCTGTTGTCTGCCTCCATAAGTAATATTCTAAGCAACTCTATTGTCCTGGGTAAGTTTGCCCTGATCTATACACTTGCATTGTCTTTTGTGCTTAAAGTCATCTTTAATAAATATTGTTGGATAGTGTGCTAGTTGGTTTTGTCAACTTGACACAAGACTCTTATGGGAAAAGGGGAACTCGGCTGAAATGCCTCCATCAGAATGGACTGTAGGCAAATATGAGGGACATTTTCTTAATTAATGATCAATTAATGGTCTAGGAGGGCCTAGCCTATTGTGAGTGGCCCTACTGCCATGGAAAACAGGTCAAGCAAGCCACAGAGAACAAACCAGGAAGCAATCCTTCTCCAAAGCCTCTGCTTTGGTTCTTGTCTCCAAGTTCCTGCCCTCATTTCTCTAGTTCCCTTCATGATGGTCCATAAGAGACCCCTCCCCATGACACGATAGGTCATTTATGTTAGCACACTAATGAAATGCAAACTGTTACAGAACTCTTTTCTCTTTTAGTTTTAGAAGAAACCTCATCGCAGTGGCACAGCTCAGTCATAATTCTCAGTGGACTATCCTTTAGTATCGGCCAGGCTTCGTTTGGGGGATTAGCGTATATGCTTTCAGACTGGCACATGCTGCAACTTACTGTTGCCTTGCCCCACATCATTTTTTTCATTGTTTTATGGTATGTGCACTTTGATATATGTACTAAACTCCAATGACTGTAACATGCAATGATGTTGTTATGTCTACTGAGGAATATCTTGTCATTTACTCATTTATTCGGTGCCGTTTTAGGCTCTATATTCAGAAAAATAAATTTAAAAGTCTTAGAAAAAACAATAATAGGCTAATTTCTTCAGTTAATTTATAAAATTACGTGAATAGTGGCTCAAAATTTCATCTATGGATCACTTGGTTTTTCACTTCGTTGTTGAGATCAAGCCACAGGAAAATCCACTTACATGGCAGCCAAGCTCAGAGAGGACTGAAAGTAGATCTTCCAAATCACTCTTTAAGGAGATGCAAAACAGTCTTTTTCTTTTCTTTTTTCCCTGACAGCAGCTATTCTGGTATCCTTTCCAGTTTTAATTAGTCTTCTCAGGAAAAAAATATGACACTGTATTAAATAAACAATATAAAATTTAATAGTACTTTTTAATTTAAAATGGATAACATTTTGTATTAAAAATTTGTGAATCTCAATTTAGAGTCACATCTTGAAGTGGCAGAATTTTTTGAATTAGAATACAATGAAACACATTTGAATTTTGAATAATGGAGTCTTTACTCCTCTATAAGAATAAAAATTTTGTTGTCTTCATAGCTTTGAAAAATTATTAAAAGGCTTAGCAACAGGGTATGACAGTGGAGTTCGTGAAGAAATTGAGGGATGGTTAAATACTGGAATGTTTCCTATTGGCAGAAGGGATCAGAGCAGAAGACATATTCTTGGATATGTCTTTGGATTTTAATATGACTGTCATTTCTAATCATCTTTTTTAACAGCTGGGGGCCAGAATCAGTCAGGTGGCTAATGGTCACTGGGAAAACAGAACAAGCAATAAAGGAACTACGAAGAATTGCCATCATCAATGGGAAGAAAGACATTGCACATAATCTAACTACTGAGGTGCTAAAATCATATTATAATTATCTTTAAATTTCTTACTGTTATCAACTATTAAAAAACACAGTGTAATTATAGATAACCATACCCAATAACTAAAAGAATTTGGGATAGACTCATATTAAAAATATTATTATTACCCTCTAGATGGAGTTTCTGTCCCACCTGGTCCCACAGCTGTTTAGACCCAAATAAACACATAGAGATTTTTACTAACCATAAACTGTTTGGCCAATGGCTTATGCTTCTTACTGGCTAGGTCTGCCTTAATTATTAATCCATAACTATTAATCTGTGTATTTCTACATGGCCTTATCTTACTGGAGAATTCTGAACCTGTTACTCCTTTGGTGGCTACACGGTGTCTCACTAGTGGCTCACTCCCCATGTCCTCCCCCAGAATTCTCCTGGTAGCCCCGCCTATCCTTCCTGCCTGGCTACTGGCCAATCAGTGTTTTATTCATCAACCAATAAGAGAAATAAATATAAAGAAGGACACACCCAATAACAAGAAGAATTTGGGATAGACTTATATTAAAACGATTATTAGTATTACCCCTTTAAAATGTCTCTTTAAATTGAAATGTCATTTCCCCTTTTAATATCCTCCCTCTAACTTCTCCAATGATAATCCCATCCAGCTCCCTCTTGAATTCATTGTCTCATTTTTCTTTAATTGTTGTTGCTACATATTTATCTATTCAGTCTATTTATTATTACTTACACGTATATGATTTCAAGGATGACCATACAGTATTGTATAACCAATTAGAAAACTCATTCCCCGGAGATTATTAATTCTCCCTCTTTCATAATTCCTTGCCTAAGGCTCTATGTCTTGGTGGGACCCTGAGAAAGACATGTCAGCATGTCTATTGTTGTTGGTCTAGTCCTGGTCTTATTTAGGCAGCTATATTGTTCAGATATTATGGGTAATGCTCCCCTGTTGTTTCCATGAGACACAGTAGTTCATCAAACTTCCTGATCCTCTCTCTAACTCTTATTATGTTTTCTCTCCTTCTTCCTCAATGTTGCCTAAGCCTAAACTGTTAGAGTTGAGAAATAGATGTATCAATAGCAGTTGGGAACCTCATGATCAGTTATTCTTTGTATTTGACCAACCATGGTTTTTCTGTAATGGTTTCTGTCTTTTGCAGTGAGAATTCGTTTGATCAGGGATTATAACTGTATTTATAGGTATAAGTACAAATATTTAGAATATGGTTTGCAATTTATCCTGGTTTAGTAAAATGATGGTAGAACGTTTACTTCTAAAATCTTTGACTGATAGGTCTAGGTATCTGGCTTGGTGGCAAAAACTTTTAATCACCTTAAGCAATTTTGCCAGTCTTACTCTCCCTTTCAATGGTTTGAGTAATCCACACCGCTCTGGCTTCCTGAGGTAATTATTGGTGGTATAAGACAGCATAGAGGAATGGATTATAATTTGTGAGGTTTTGTTTCAAACTTTTATTCCACCTAAATACTTTGACTTGGTCTTTATTTCTTGAAGGCTTTGCAATCTAAACTTAAGGAAGATGGGAATTCAACCAGTAAAGGTTTCAGAATGAAGGACATCATTATTAATCCCATTATGCGTAAAACAGTGCTTTGTAGTTCCAGTATAATGTGAGTAGTTTACTCTTTCCTATTCTAGCACTCAGTCAACTCCTTCAGCATCATGTTACACCCTTTGAGGAATGTGTGGGGTAAACAAACATCCCTCCCTTTATTCAAGATATTAGAAACCAAAAGACAAATATGCATAGGGAAAGATGAAAGCAACTTTAATGGATCATTTAAAAAAATGCTTCATGGGATGTTTGAAACTTTCAGGGACTGTAGAAATATAAACACAAAATTAAAAAGGTATTTAGACCTGAAGTAAGTCACCAAATAATGAGGAGGACCAAACAGGTTTTGAGTTAAATCGATCAGTTTTGTTCACACTGAAATGCAGTAAACTTAACTGCATGGCATTGGAATAAAATCCACACTAATTTCATTTCAAGTTTTTCTCAAGGCTAAGCAGCATGAACTTTTGACCTTTGTTGATCTTCAGGTGTTCCAAATGTACATCTTTGCAGCACATTGGGCAATTACATCAAAACAGTGGAGGAAAGATCACTGCAAGTGAGTTGTCCACAAGACAACTCAAGTTAAAATTATAGCTTTTTTTTTTTTCAGTGAATTTACTTCTAGTCTAAATTTCAGGATAAGAAAATGACCTCAGGACCTCAGGAGAAATTATTTGACTTTCCTAAATATGGACATCTTGCACAATAAACTCTTAGACTCAATCAAGAGCTGCAAGAGGCAGATTTTGAGCCCAGGCTTTTCTATACCAAAAATGATCACTAAAAACAACTTCATACTTCTCATCACAATTTTATATAAATAGAGGAACAGGCATCAGAAGAACTCTGCAGAAACATGATATTTTTAGTATATGTACATACTAAGCACATTAAATAATCTGGGTGAACAGGCTATTATATATGGTAAAAATTGAAATGTGATGTATGGAAATTAAAAGATAAGTTAATTGTACCGTAACTTTATGTTAAAGGAGTCAAATATAGAGTAGAATGCTGAGAGATCAGGGAGAAGAAGCAGCAAGCCACACCCACATCTTACCTTCTAGTGTCTCAATAGACAAGGGAGTGACTTCCTGTTTCTTCTGGCTCAGATCCTCTCTCCACCCAGACATCTTACTTCCTGACTGTGCCCAGCCATCTTACTTCCTGCCGGTCTGTACAGACCTAAAAGACTCAATAGTTAGCTAGTAATAAACTCTATTCTCTGACTTTCAGACAGGTTTTATTTGCACAAGCAAGATATCACCACAACTGAAGAGGTAATCTTATTTTTTGAAGTGGCTATTTTTAGCCTTTTGTAAAAAGTACATATTAAATAAGAACACTGCTACATAGATTTTTATATTATCTTTATTCCTTCAGCTCTGAGTTAATACTCATGCCTGTGTTTCTTTTTCAATTATTTACCTAAAATAAGAGATAAGTCAGAGGTTTAGAACACTTGTTACCCGTCCAGAGGAAAGACCAGCATTTGGTTTCCAGCCACCATATGGCAACTAACAACTGTCTGAAACTCCAGTTTTAGGGGATCCAACACACCCTCTACAACCTCTGCATATGGAGAGATACATGCAGAAAAAACACTTGTAGGAATAAAACAACATTATTTAAGTCAATATAAGTCAGTGTGATATATGATGGAATGAGAGATATTTATGTTTCTTATATGTAAAATGAATTCAGAAAACTAATCTTTGTAGCAGCTTATAATCATAAAATTTTATTACTAAATCTTAAAATGAGATCATTTTAATAAGTACAGCAGAAAATACATTGACCCATTGCTCACATATATTAACTTGTTCTACTAATTATAATGGTATATATTATATACAAATAATTATTATATAGTAATTATAATGGATATATATGATATAATAACTTCAAATTTAAAAATTACCACAATTTTGAAAATTTAAGGTTTATTATATATATATATATATATATATATATATATATATATATACACACACAATGCACTATAAAATAAGCCTAAAATTTTCAAAATTGTGATAATTTATATACGTGTGTGTGTGTGTGTGTGTGTGTGTGTGTGTGTGTGTGTATTTGTAGTTGTTTTTTCGAGACAGGGTTTCTCTGTGGCTTTGGAGTTTATCTTGGAACTAGTTCTGTAGAGAAGACTGGCCTCAAACTCACAGAGATATGCCTGCCTCTGCCTCCTGAGTGCTGGGATTAAAGGTGTTCATCACTAACACCTGGCTAGTGCATTATATTTAAATTCTAACAAAATTGTAAAGCAATAATTTTAAAGATGTTAAACTCCAAACAAATATGATTTTCAAGAAATTGCACATCTTTTAGGAATATATTTGTCTATTTTCACTTTGAATCCCAACCAACTTCAGATGAAGAGTCTATCAGATCAGTGGACTAAGTTAAGAATTTTCTTAATATAAATGTATTACATAAAATATATTCAATTTATTGATAATTTGATAATTATCAATATGTTATTTCATGTATTATTCCAAGTAACTTCTGTGATATAAAACTCCATCTCATTCCATATTTGGAATATTTGGTTTTAGTTGTATATTTGAAGGAAATAATGATCCCATGTACACACACACACACACACACACACACACACACACACACACACACCATAATAAAATGTTTTGATGCCCCAGTTGGTTAAATGCCTCTGTATGCTTTCTTCCAGTTTTGCAGAAATGTTCAGTGGTTATGTTATATTTTTGGACATTCAAATTTTGGGAAAGAACATCTTCCTGAATCTGTTTCTCCTAGGAGTGGTAGACATACCCAGCAAATTATTCACATATTTTATATTAAAAAACATAAGACGTCGACCTTCAATTGCTTTTTTACTCCTTGTAACTGGAAGTTGCATTATCATCACAATATTTCTACCTGAAGGTGAGATTTCCTCAGTGTTTAGAATCTTATTATAAATGTATATTCATGTATGTAAGCATAGAAGAGCACTAGACTACATTTATTTAAATATTTACTTTTTATAATTACAAATGTGTGTACACATTTGCATGCTATGTATGAATGTATAGACAAGTGAGTGTGGATGCCCTAGGAGGACAGACACATTGGGTAGCCTAGAAATGGAGTTATAGAATGTTGGTCATAACCTGTGTGATGTGGGCCCTCTGCAAGAGCAGTAGGTTCTCCTAACTGCTGAACTGTCTTTTCAGCTCTTAATATTTATTCTAAAAGAAATTTCCTATTATAACATTCATTTAATTATTTATATAAAAACAGGGGAAGGGATACAAGCATTACAAGTAATATTTCCACAAGACAATCAAAATTAAAATGTATAGATTTCTCTAATGAGATTTCTTTCTTTTTTTTTTTTATTAATTATGAAAACTTGACCTATAGCTTAGGATTGTCCCACTACTTCTTTTTTTATTTTTATTTTCATTTTACATATCAATCCCAGTTCCCCCTCTGTCCCTTCTTCCCTTTTTCCCTCTCTCCCACCCTCTCATCCCCCCACCAAGCCACCTACCCTCCCATCCTCACCAAATTCACTTGTATGGTTACGCCCTCCAGGAGGGGTCATCTAAATCTTTCAAGTCATTTGGAGTAGGGACTAGGCCTTCTCTCCTGTCTCTAGGTTATGGGAGTATCCCTCCATGGGGAATGTGCTCCCAAAGTCCTTTTGTGCACCAGGAATACATTCTGGTTCCACTGTCAGAGGTCCCTTACTGCTCAGGCCTCTAACTGAGACCCATGTTCTGGGGGTTTGAGTCAGTCCCATGCTGGATTCCTAGCTATCAGTCTGGGGGGGCCCATTAGCCCCTCTTTGTATAAGTCAGCTGTCTCTATGTGTTTCTGTTGCCTGGTATTGTCATCCCTCTCTGCACCTGGATTCCAGTTCCACTCAGTGTTTAGTTGTTGGTATATGCTTCTGTTTCCATCACCTACTAGATGAGGGCTCCATGATGTTGGATAAGTTATTTGTTGATCTCATTATCAGGGAAGGGCATTTACGGTAGCCTTTCCATTGTTGCTCAAATTGTTAATTTGGGTCAGTCTTGTAGGTCTCTGGGCATTTCTCTGGGTTCAGTTTTCTCTTCAAACCTACTATGGCACCCTCTTTTATGGACTCTCTCTCTCTCTCATCTTGTCTATTCCTCCACTGACTCAATCTTCATAGTCCTACGTGCTTTCCTCTCCTCCCCTTTTCTTTCTCCTAGTTCCCTCTCCACTCACTGCCCCCCAACTCCCCATATTCTCAGGAGATCTTGTACCTTTCCCCTTCTGTGAGGGACTTTATATGAATCTCTTAAATTCTTCCTTGTATCCTAGTTTCTGGTGGTGTGAATTATAGGCTGGTGATCCTTTCTCTATGTCTAAAATCCATATATGAGTGAATACATACCATGTTTCTCTTTTTATGACTGGGTTACCTTGTTCAGGATGGTTTCTTCAAGTTCCATCCACTTGCCTATGAAGTTCAAGATTCTATTGTTTTTTTCCCACAGAGTTGTATTCCACTGTCTAGATGGGCCACATCTTCTTTATCCATTCTTCAGTTGAAGGGCATCTAGGTTTCTTACAGGTTCTTGCTATTACAAATAATGCTGCTATGAACATAGTTGAGCAGATGTAGGATTGGTGAAGATCTTTCCCCATTCTGTGGGCTGCTGTTTGGTCTTGTTAACTGTGTCCTTTGACTTACAGAAGCTTCTAACTTTGAGGAGGTCTCATTTATTAATTGTCGATCTTGTGACATTGGAGTTATGTTCAGGAAGTGGTCTCCTGTAACAATTTTTTTCAAGGGTAGCTCCCACTTTCTCTTCTAAGAGGTTCAGTGTGGCTGGATTGATGTTGAGGTCTTTGATCCATTTGGACGTGAGTTTTGAGCATGGTGTCTATCTGTAGTCTTCTACACACCATCATCCAGTTGTGCCACCACCATTTGTTGAAGATGCTCTCCTCCTCCCATTGTATACTTTTAGCTGTTTGGTCAAAAATCAGATATTCATAGGTGTGTGGGTTAGTATCATGATTTTCCATTCGATTCCATTGGTCTACTTTTCTATTTTTGTGCCAATAACAGGCTGCTTTCAGGACTGTAGTAGAGCTTAAAGTCGGGGATGGTAATACCTGCTGAAGTTCATTAATTGTTTTGGCTATGATGGGTCTTTTGTTTTTCCATATAAGTTGATTATTATCCTTTCAAGGTCAGTGAAGAATTGTTCTGGGATTTTAATGGGGATATCATTGAATCTGTAGATTGCTTTTGGCAAGATTGCCATTTTTACTATGTTTATCCTACCTATCCAAGAGCATGGAAGATCTTTCCAATTTCTGGTATATTCTTTAATTCCTTTATTTAAAGACACAAAGTTCTTATTATATAGGTCTTTCACTTGTTTGGTAAGTGTTACCCCAAGATTATTTTGTTTGTGGCTATTTAATGGGTGATATTTCTCTATCAACCCCTTTATCTTCTGAATAAAGTAAGGCTACTGATTTTTTTTTAAATTTATTTTGTATCCTGCTACTTTGCTGAAGGTGTTTATCAGCTGTAGGAGTTCTCTGGTAGAGTTTTTCTGGTCACTTTTGTAAACTATCATGCCATCTACAAATAGTGGAAGTTTGACTTCTTCCTTTCCAATTTGAATCCCCTTGATCTCCTTTGTTGTCATATGCTTTAGCTAGGACACGTACAATATTGAAGAAATGTGGAGAGAAAGGGCAGCCTTGTCTTGTTCCTGATTTTAGTTTGATGTTGGCAGTTCATTTGCTGTGTATTGCTCTTATTATGTTTTGGTATGTTCCTGTTATCCCTGATCTCTCCAAATCCTTATCATGAAAGGGTGTTGAATTTTGTCAAAGGCTTTTTCAGCATCTAGGGAGATGATAATGTTGTTTTTCTTCTTCAGTTTGTGATGGGAGATGCCATTATGTATATATGTTTCTCATACTGGTTAATGAATAAAGCACTGTTGGCCAATAGGAAAGCAAGATAGGCGGGACTAGGAGACAAGGAGGAAAGAGGAAGGAGGAAGAATGTAAGAGAAATACATAGATCAACAGAAATGGGTTAATAATTAAGATGGAGCTAGCCAATAAGAAACTAGTAACTGGCCAACAGAATTATATCATATACAGAATCTCTGTGTATTAATTGGGGCTGGTGTGGCAGTGGGACAAGACTGGTGGCAGGAGGAATAACTTTACTCCCTACAAGTTTGTTCATTTGGTGGATCATGTTGATAGAATTTCATATATTAAACCATCCCTGCAATCCAGGGATGAAGCTTACTTGGTCATGGTGGATGATTTCTCTGATGTGTTCTTGGATTCGATTTGCCAGTATTTTATTGAGTATTTCTGCATCAATGTTCATCAGGGATATTGGTCTGTAGTTTTCTTTCTTAGTTGTGTCTTTGTGAGGCTTGGGTACTAAGGTTATTGTGGCCTCATAAAAAGAGTTTGGCAATGAACCTTCTTTTTCTATATTGTGGAACAGTTTGAGGAGTAGTGGCATTAGTTCTTCCTTGAATGTCTGGTAGAATTCTGCACTGGGCTTTTTTTGGTTGGAAGGCTTTCGATGACTGCTTCTATTTCATTGTGGGTTATAGGTCTATTTAAGTTGTTTGTCTATTCTTGATTTAATTTTGCTAAGTGATAGTTATCCAGAAATTTGTCCATTTCCTTTGAATTTTCAATTCTTTTGGAATACAGGTTTTCAAAGTATGACCTGAAAATTATCTGAATTTCCTCTGTGTTATGTTCCCCTTTCCATTTCTGATTTTGTTAACTTGCCTGTTCTCTCTCTGCTTTTTTGTTAGTTTGGATAAGGGTTTGTCTAACTTGTTGATTTTCTCAAAAAACCAACTCTTCATTGCATTGGTTTTTTTTGTATTGTTTTCCTGGTTTATATTTTGTTGATTTCAGCCCTCAAGTAGATTATTTCCTGGCGTGTACTCCTACGGGGTGAGTTCGCTTCTCTCTGTTCTAAGGCTTTCAGTTGAGCTGTTAATTCTCTTATGTGACTATCTTCTGTTTTCTCCATATGGGCACTTAATGCAATGGACTTTCCTTGTAGCACTGCTTTCATGGTGTCCCATAAGTTCGGATATGTTGTGTCCTCATTCTCATTGAATATTAGAAAATCCTTAATTTCTTTCTTTATTTCTTCTTTGACCAAGGTATGGTGCAATTGCACATTGCTCATTTTCCATGAGTTTGCCGGTTTTCTGCTATTTGTGTTGTTGTTGAATTCCAATTTTAAAGAATGGTGGTCTGATAAGATACAAAGGACTATTCCTATTCTCTTGTATCTGTTGAAGTCGATTTTAGAGAAGTTTATGTGAGCAGCAGAGAAGGTATATTCTTTTGTGTTTGGATGGAATGTTCTATAGATGTGTGTTAACCCCAGTTGAGACATAACTTCTGTTAGTTCTTTTGTTTCTTTGTTGAGTTTCTGATTTGTGGTCCTGTCTAGTGTTGAGAGTGGTGTATGGAAGTCTCCCTCTATAAGTGTGTGAGGTTTTATATGAGCTTTGAGTTTTAGTAGCGTTTCTTTTAGGAATGTGGGTGCCTTTGTATTAGGTGCATAGATGTTCAGAACTGAGACTTTGTGTTGATGGATTTCTCCTGCAATGAATACGAAATGACCGTCTTCATATCTTTTGATTAATTTTGGTTTGAAGTCTAACTTGTTAGATATTAGGATAGCCACGCCTGCTTGCTTTTTGGTTCCATTTGATTGGAAAATCTTTCCCAACCTTTTACCCTGAGGTATTGTCTATCTTTGAAGCTTAGATGTGTTTCTTGTATGCAGCAGAAGGATGGATTCTGTCTTCCTATCCATTCTGTTAGCCTGTGTCTTTTTATAGGTGAGTTAAGACCATTAATGTTGAGGGTGAATAAGGACCATTGATTGTTCATGCTTGTTTGTTTTAGGTTTGTTTTTGGCAGTGGTATTGTGAATATATTTGTTCTGCTTTACCCTTGGTTTCTGGTGTAGTTAGATTATCTGTTGCCTACATTTTTGTGGGTGTAGTTACCTTCCTTGGGTTGGAGTTTTCCTTCCAATCTGGTTTTGTCATTAAATATCTTGTTTTCTCCATCCATAGTGATTGAGAGTTTTGCTGGGTATAGTAGCCTAGGCTGCATACGTGTTCTCTTAATACTTGTAGAACATCTATCCAGGACCTTCTGGCCTTGAGGGTTTCCATGGAGAAGTCAGGTGTAATTTTGATAGGTCTGCCTTTATATGTTACCTGTCCTTTTTCCTTGGCTGTTCTTAATATTCTGTCTTTATTCTGTATGCTAGGTGTTTTGATTATTATATGTCAAGGGGTCTTTTTTCTTTGGGCCAGCCTATTTGGGGTTCAGTATGCTTCTTGTACATTCATGGGTTGTCCTTCTTCAGATTGGGAAAGTTTTCTCAATGATTTTGTTGAATATGTTTTTGGCACCTTTGAGCTGGGCTTCTTTGCCTTCCTCTATGCCTATTATTCTTAGGTTTGGCCTTTTCACGGTGTCCCACATTTCCTGGATGTTTTGTGTTAAGGATTTTTTGGATTTATGATTTTCTTTGGTCGATGAATCTATTTCTTCTAGTTTATCTTCTGCGCCTGAGATTCTCTCTTCCATCTCTTGAATTCTGTTGGTTATGCTTGAGTCTGTAGTTCCCGATTTTTTGCCCAGTATTTCTATTTCCAGCATTCCTTCGGTTTGTGTTGCCTTTATTTTCTCTATTTCAGTTTTTAAGTCTTAAACCGTTTCCTTCACCTGCTTAATTGTTTTTTCTTTGTTTTCTGTACTTTCTTTACTTTTTTGTTTGTTTTTTCTTCCATTTCTTTAAGGGATTTTCTCACATCTTCTTTGAGGGCCTGTATCATTTTTATGACGGTAATTTTTAAGTTGTTCCCTTTTGATTCCTCTGCTTTGTAGTATTCCGTTCTAGTTGGGGTAGATTCCCTAGATTCTGGTGGTTTCATGCTTGTCTTTCTGTTGTTATGTGTTTTCTTGTATTGCCGTCTTCCCATAGCTTCTTCCAGTAGGTGTTGGTGGGTTCTCTCCCTTTCTCTATGGTACTTCCCTGTGGGCTTATGTGGGTCAGAGGTTCAATATCTATAGCTCTGGGTGGTCCAAGCTCTATAGGAGGTCTCTGCAGACAGGGACCCAGGGATGGGGTCAGGGATGAGGATCCAGTAGAAGATGCCTGCAGAAACTCAGAGTGGTCCCCCAGAGATAGGCAGGTCTCTGGGAGGGGCCTGAGACTCCAGCAGAGGACTGGAGGTGGGGGTCAGAGACCAAGCAGGTGGGAATTACGGGTGGTCCTGCATGGATAGGCAGGTCTCCTGTGTTCAGAGTTGCTCTGAGAAGTCCCCGAAGTAGTGTGGGCTGTTGGCTCCACCCTCTGTCCCAGTGCTCAACCAGAGTGGTAGGACAGTGGGCAGGGTAGGGCACAGGGTAGGGAGGGGCAGGCTCACGGTGGGGATGGGTGGGGGTGTATCAGAGCTCTAAGGGTGCTCTCTATGGGGACAGGACACAGGAGCAGGAGGATCCTGGGCCAAACCAGGGAATTCCCTGGCAGGGGAGGGGAGGTTGTAGGGGAGAGGCCTCCCCAATTGGGCCCAGACTCACCTCTAGCCAATGGCTGGCAGAAGAGGACAAAAGCTGGGCTGATACTGGGGATGTTTCTGCACCGATAGACCTGGCACTCCCCCCACCAGGCCTCTTTCTTTAGCAGAGGCCCTGCTTTGTGGGTCAAGGATCTTGCCCACAGAAACTCAGAGTGGACCCGCAGAGATAGGCGGATCTCTGGGAGGGGCCTGTGATTCCAGCAAAGGACTGGAGATGGGGGTCAGAGACCAAGCAGGTGGGAATTACGGGTGGCCCTGCGTGGATAGGCAGGTCCCCTGCATTCAGAGTGGCTCTGAGAAGTCCCCAAAGTAGTGTCATCTATTTTGTTTCTAATGAAAGAACAAGAAAGGGTGTAGACCTGGATGGTTGGGGAGGTAGACAGGATCCATAGTGGGAGTTAAGGGAGGGGACACCATAATCAAAATATATTTCCAATAAAAAAGAGTGTTTGTTTCCAGGTAATGGCTTAGCATTTAATATTCTGAAAATATTTGCAATCCGTTTGAATCAGAGACCAATGAATATTGACAAGATAATCATTTTATCCTCTTCACATCATCTGCAGACATGCGTGTCCTGCGCCTTATTATGTTCCTTTTGGGAAGAGGATCTTATGCAGCTTTTACATGTATAATTTTAGCATACATCCAGGAACTGACTCCAACAGTGCTCAGGTAAGGAAGGAAACTGCAAAGCTTCACCTTGGATACTGCTAGAAGCTTCTAGAAATTTTAGATGACTAAATTAGGTGTCATTTTAAATGACATTTTTAGCATTTATTATGCTTTAGAGAAGATGTTATGGTTTGCTGAGAAGAACCATTTCTGTAGGCTGGATTAGTTTATCATGGTCTGTTAGGTCTATTTGATATATTGTGGCTTAGTTCCAAAGTGCATTCTGATGTTTAGTTTGGACTACCTGCTGTTAGTAGGGTTACTATTGCTGTGATGATACTCCATGAGTGAAATAACTCAGGAAGGGAAAAGTTTATTCACTTCATGCTTCTACATCACAGTTCACCATCAAAGGAAGTCAGGACAGGTACTCAAACAGGGAAGGATCCTAGAGGCAGCTGCTGATACAGAGGCCATGGAGGGGTGTTGCATACCGCCTTGATCTACATGGCTTGCTCAGCCTTTATTCTTACAGCACCCAGAGCCACCAGCCCAGGAATGGCACCGCCCATAATGGGTTGGGAACTCCGCCATCAATCACTAACCAGTCTTGTCTACACAGCCAAATTTTATGGAAGGATTTTCTCAATTGAGTTTCCCTCCTCTCAGATGACTTTAGTTTGTGTCATTTTGAGACAAAGCTATCCAGCACAGTCTGTCTAAAGGCAAGTGGGATATGTGTAATATGATGGTGTGTATGTTTGTGGGTGTGGATGTATTTGTGTACAAACATTAAAAGTAGAAAATACAAGGGGCATGGAAAGAAAGAGAGAGCAATGGGGTGCATGTGACTCAAAACATAGGAGGTGGAGCAGCTGTTGGGGGAAGAACCTGGTGATGGGGGGTGAGGAGGGGGGGTGGGAGGAGAGATTAATAATAACAAGGCATAATTACATATGTATGGAAACATCTTAAATAAACCCAACACCTCTTAAGATAACACACAAAATAGAGAGTGTCCTCCAACAATATTCAGAGATGAATGGTTAGCATTTAGATAGCAGTTAGAGTAGTACTCTGTAACGTTTCCCAAGTCCCTCTCCATCATCATATTTTGAAAACTATGGTCATATACAAATTTCAGCACACAGACTACTGTTGTCTTCTTATTCTATCTTTCAAAATAATAACCAGCCTTAGCCTATTGCTTTGCGTCTCTGATGGCTCAAGGAACCCTTGTGTACACAGTTTGAAAAGATACTGTCTTGAAAATGTTTTCATGTTCCAAGGTTTCTTGTTCTTTCTCTCTAAGGAATATCTGACTGTGGGTCTCTGTATTTGTTTCCATTTGGGGCTGGAAGAAACGTCTCTGATTATGACTAAAGATGGCACTGATGTATGAACATAGCAGAATGTCATTAGGAGTCATTTTATCACTACTTTTTTGTTATCTAGTCTCTGATTTTTGGTATAGGTTATGAGTGGGTCTTACATCAAATCAGGCATTGTTTCCTTATTTCCACAAGCTTTGTGCTACTAATTACTTAGTATATCTTGCAGGCAGGACATAATTGCAGGTCAAAATTTTGTGGCTGGGATGGTGTTACATTTATCTTTTGGTATTGTGTAGGCTGCCTTCTTGTGCCAAAGACATTGGGAAGAAGGGTGAAGACTTCCTTTACTCTTCAGATTTCACTTTTTTTTTTTTTTTTGCACATTTCATCTTTCAAATTTCTATAAGAAAGTGCCATTAGTCAGGTATTGACTCTCTAATTTTTAAACTACTTATGCTAAAGTTTTCAACAAAAGTCCATATACTATGTCAAAACTTACCTAAAAAGAAAAATAAGGAAAACAGTAAGTTTAAAGTCTAGATAGATTTCAGATTTTCTTTTTTAGTATAAATAAAAGAGTAAATGAATATTGGGCACTAAGCACTAAAGTGTTATTCTTGTTCATTTTAAATTTAATTCACCTTATTTTTATCAAGTAACCCTAATATTGTACTCCATGGATAGTGACACAATATCTGTTTTGCCTTTTTTATTGATTATTTTTTAAATTGAAATTTTAAACTAGTTTGTTTTACATGTCAATCCCAATTCCTGTACCCTCCCATCCTCCTGTGTTCCCCACAACCACCAACTCTCATTCCAGAGAGGATGAGGCCTTTGATGGGGAGTCTTCAAAGTCTGTCACATCATTTGGAGAAGTTCCCAGGCCCTCCCCCATATGTCTAGGCTGAGGAAGTATCCCTCTATGTGGAATGGGCTCCCAAAGTCCATTCATATACTAGGGATAAATATGATCCACTACCAGAGGCCCCATAGACTGCCCAGTCCTCCTAACTAACACCCATGTTCAGGGAATCTGGGTCAGTCCTATGCTGGTTTCCAAGCTATCAGTCTGGTGTCCATTAGCTCCCTCTTGCCGAGGTCAGCAGTTACTGTGGGTTTGTCCAGCCTGCTCTTGACTCCTTTGCTCATCACTCCTCCCTCTCTGCAACTGGATTCCAGAAGTTCAGCTCAGTGTCTAGCTGTGGGTGTCTGCTTCTGCTTCCATCAGCTACTAGAGGAAAGCTCTATGATGGCACATAAGGTAGTCATCAATCTCATTATTGGGGAAGGGTATTTAAGGTAGCCTCTCCACTATTGATTAGATTGTTAGTTGGGGTCATCCTTGTAGATCTCTGGACATTTTCCTAGTGCCAGATTTCTCTTCAAACCTATAATGGCTCCCTGTATTATGATAGTTCCTGACTCAATCTTTCTGCTCCCTCATGCCCACATCTCCCCTCCTCTTCCTCCTAACTCCCTCTCTCTTCCCCACATGCTCCCATTTTGGTTGGGAGATCTTTTCCCTTTCCCCCTCTCAGAAGGAACATGTATGTCTCTCTTGGAGTTCTCCTTGATTCCTAGCTTTTCTGGCGATATGGATTATAGGCTGCTAATCTTTTTTCTATGTCTAAAAACCATATCTGAGTGAGTACATACCATGTTTGTCTTTTGTGACTGGGTTACATCAGTCGGGATGGTGTCTTCTAGTTCCACCCATTTGCCTGTGAATTTCAAGATTCCATTTTTCCCCCCACTTAGTTGTACTCCTTTGTGTAAATGTACCACACTTTCTGCATCTGTTCTTTAGTTGGGAGGTATTTAAGTTGCTTCTAGGTTCTGGCTATTACAAATAATGCTGCTATGAACATAGTTGAACAAATATCCTTCTTTTATGAATGTGTATCTTTTGAGTATATGCCTAGGAATGATGAGAAAACTAAAAATAACATCAGGATGCATATTCTGTGGACAACAAAAACTGTATATTTAAAAACCTTATAGTATGCCCAAGAAAAACAGAAATCCGTGTCCATATGGAAATAATGCTTTTCATGGGACTATAGAAGGCATTGGGATATATATATATATATATATATATATATATATATATATGTGTGTGTGTGTGTGTGTGTGTGTGTGTGTGTGTGTGTGTGTGTGTGTTTGATATACAGACAGTATTAATATCAGTGAAGGCTGGGAAAACCCACATCGACTGTAGGTGATTTTGTATCTCTACTGAATATGACAATAATACCAAGCTTGTAGTTCAAGTTTTGCATTTCTGGTCTATTTTTAAAGGTCAACTATAACTGGTATTTATGCCCTTGCTGCCCGAATAGCAACAACAATGTCTGCACTAGTACTTATTACTAGGAAGTATTTTATACACCTTCCTGTGATTCTCTGTGGGATAATACCCATAGTAGCATCAGTCAACCTCTACTTTCTGCTGGAGACTTTGAATCTTCCATTTATCGACACTGTCAAGGATCTAGAGAAAAGGTGAGCTCTTATGCTGGTGTATTTTTGTGGGAAGGTAGGATGTGTGATTTTGAAATGGTTTAGGTTTAAATGGTAGTCTTATAGATTGTAATTTGATAAGGTCAAGACTAGAATGTTTTGGTTAATTTTGCTAATATGTTTGATAATACATGAATATTTATTATAAGATACACATTTGCTTTTACAAAAATAATTTTAATACAAGTGCTTAAGTATTTAGGTAATAATTCCCTAGCACATTGATATAAGTGTGTCATTGAAAAAAGTGTTTATTTTTCTATCATTTCATATAATAGGTGACTTAGAATGCATAGTTTCTATATTGCATACCAGAAAATTGGGCAAATATTTCGTATGTATCATCTTTCTAGTCAATATATTTACATATATGTTCTATGTAATTAGAAATATATTTATGAAAATACATAATCAGAGAATGTTGGAAACATATTGGTGAATCTATATAATCAGAGAGTGGTAGTAAAAGAAATAGATATGCAACCCAAATCACTTGAAGCCAAATGTTTCATTTCTTCTTTTCCTAGTGATCTTACATGTTATTTGTTAAGCATTATCACTATAATTACATTATCAGATTTAAATCTTCCCAAGTATCTGTGACACATCCATAACTGATAAAATAACAATCATGTTATTATACCTAAATTTAAGTAATTTCTAGACCCTTAAAACTTTTAATACAAAGTTTTGATGGTGATGGTTGTAGATATGAGACTATGCATATATTATTTACCAGAGGACTTGATGAAATAATTTTGTTTCTTAAAACATCAACCTTTGACCTGGTGAATAGTGAAGAATATAATAAACATTTCCTATTTCATCCACATGGAAAATTAAAAGTCTTTTAAAAGAATTTCACTTGTATTTACCCATGTAACCAGCATTGACACCTGTTAAGGTCTGTAGTGTTCCTATGATTACTATATATATGAACAACCTGCATGTGACTTGGCTGAAGTAAATTTGAAGGTCTATACCCAGGGAATATTTTAAGTTTTCAATAATTGAATGGGCTTTACAAATATGTTGGAAAATCTGAAAGAATACTTAAGGGAGATGTGTACTAGCTTATGAAGTATAGATAAATGTTACCTACATACTTAAAAAATTTATGTCTCACTTGTATGTCCACTCACCTAATATTTTTTATTTATTTGATTCCTGGAATAGAATGATGAACAAAGATCTCAGTAAAAAAGAAGGGCAAGACTTCTTGGAAACTACGGAGTGCTAAAGAAGGTAAAATCCACAGGATTTCCACAAATATTAGCCCTCTTCATTCTGTTCTGTATCCTGGAGACTTCACCACTGATGAAGGTTCACAAATACACCTATTTTTATTTTTTATTTTTTTGTTTTTTTTTTTTTTTTTTTTTTTTTTTTTTTTTTGAGACAGGGTTGCTCTGTATTGCTTTGGAACCTGTCCTGAAACCATCTCTGTAGACCAGGCTGGCCATGAACTCTCAGGGATCTGCCTCTGCCTCTGCCTCTGCCTCCCAAGTGCTGGGATTAAAGGCATGCACTACCAATATCTGGCTCAAAATACACTTATTAAATGGCCCTATTGCAAAAGTAAATCTCCATAATATAGATGTCAATCTTAAGGTTTTATTAAATACTGAGTATAGGTTTCTTTCATGAAAAAATTAAAACAAATCTATGTAATAAATACTTTGTCTTAGTCTTAAAATGGAACTGTTTTTAAAAGTAAAAATTGAGAACAAACTGTCCAAGAAATCAACCTATTTTTATTCTGTGTTTATCCTGAAATATGTATATTTTGATGTGGAAAACTCAATAAAAATAAGTGTAGGATTTCAGAGGAATCAACTTACACTCTCCATGCAGTTTGATGTTGGCTGTTGGTTTACTGTATATTGCTCTTATTATGGTTAGGTGTGTTCCTGTTATCCCTGATCTCTCCAAGACCTTTATCATGAAAGGGTGTTGAATTAAGTCAAAGGCCTTTTTCAGCATCTAGGGAGATGATCATGTGGTTTTGTTCTTCAGTTTGTTTATATGGTGGATCACGTTGATAGATTTTTTGTATGATAAACCATCCCTGCAACCAGGGATGAAGCCTACTTGGTCATGGTGGATGATTTCTCTGATGTATTCTTGGATTCGATTTGCCAGTATTTTATTGACTATTTCTGATCAATGTTCATCAGAGATATTGGTCTTTAGTTTTCTTTCTTAGCTGTGTCTTTGTGTGTCTTGGATACCAAGGTGATTGTGGCCTCGTAAAAAGAGTTTGGTAATGACCCTTCTGTTTCTGTTGTGTGGAACAATTTGAGGAGTATTGGTATTAGCTCTTCCTTGAATGTCTGGTAGAATTCTGCACTGAAGCCATCTGGCCCTGGGCTTTTTTTGGTTGGAAGGATTTTGATGACTGATTCTATTTCACTAGGGGGTATAGATCTATTTAAGTTATTTACTGTTCTTGGTTTAATTTTGGTAAGTGATAGTTATCCAGAAATTTGTTCATTTCCTTTGAATTTTCAGATTTTATGGAGTATAGGTTTTCAAAGTATGACCTGAAAATTGTCAGGAAAAAGACAAGGCTGCCCTCTCTCTCAATATCTCTTCAACATTGTACTTGAAGTTCTAGATAAAACAATAAGGTAACAAAAGGAGATCAAGGGGATACAAATTGAAAGGAAGATGTCAAACTTTCACTATTTGCAGATGATGTGAAAGTTTACATAAGCGACCCAAAAAAGTCTACCAGAGAACTCCTACAGCTGATAAACACCTTCAGCAAACTAGCAGGATACAAGATAAACACACACACACACACACACACACACACACACACACACACACACACACAATCAGATGATAAAGGGGCTGAGAAAGAAATCAGAGAAACATCATCCTTTACACTAGCCGCAAACAACATAAAGTATCTTGGGGTAATGCTAACACAACAAGTGAAAAACTTATATAGCAAGAACTTTGTGTCTTTAAAGAAAGAAATTAAAGAAAATACCAGGAATTGGAAAGATCTCCCATGCTCTTTGATAGGTAGGATAAACATAATGAAAATGACAATCTTGCCGAAAGCAATCTACAGATTCAATGATATACCATTAAAATCCCAGCACAATTCTTCACTGACATTGAAAGGATAATAATCAATTTATATGGGAAAATAAATGACCCAGGGTAGTGAAAACAGCCCTGCACAATAAAGGAACTTCAGGAAGCACCACCATCCCCGACTTTAAGCTCTACTACAGAGTTATAGTCCTGAAAATAGCCTGGTATTGGCATAAAAATAGACAAGTAGACCAACATAATTGAATGGAAAATACTGACATTAAACCACACACCTATGAACACCTGAGTTTTGACAAAACAGCTAAAAGCTTACATTGAGTAGAGGAAAGCATCTTCAACAAATGGTGCTGGCACAACTGGATGATGGTGTGTAGAAGACTGCAGATAGACCCATGTCTGTCACCATGCACAAAACTCAAGTCCAAATGGATCAAAGACCTCAAGATCAATCCAGCCACACTGAACCTCTTAGAAGAGAAAGTGGGAGGTACCCTAGAACAAATTGGTATGGGAGACTACTTCCTGAACATAACTCCAATAGCACAGACACTGATAATGACAATTAATAAATGGGACCTCCTGAAACTGAGAAGCTTCTGTAAGGCAAAGGACAGAGTTAACAAGATCAAATGGCAGCCTACAGACTGGGAAAAGATCTTCACTAATCCTACATCTGATAGAGGGCTGATCTCCAAACTATACAAAGAACTCAAGAAACTAGTCAACAAAACACCAAATAACCCTATTTAAAAATGGGGTACAGAACTGAATAGAGAACTCTCAATAGAGGAAATTAAAAAGGCTGAAAGGCACTTAAGAAAGTGTTCAACATCGTTAGCTATCAGGGGAATGCAAATAGAAACAACTTTGAGATCATCTTACTTTTGCCATAATGGCTAAAATCAGAAACACCAATGACAACTCCTGCTGGAGAGGATGTGGAGAAAGGGGAACACTCCTCCACTGCTAGTGGGAGTGCAAACTTGTGCAGATATTTTGGAAATCAGTATGGCGGTTCCTCAGGAAAATGGGAATCAGTCTACCATGGGACCCAGCAATCACCCTCTTAGGCATATACCCAAACAACCCACATCCATGCAACAAAGACATGTGTTCAACTATGTTCATAGAAGCATTATTTGTAATAGCAAGAACCTGGAAGCAACCTAGATGCCTCTCAATTGAAGAATGGATAAAGAAGATGTGGCACATCTACACAATGGAATACTACTCTGTGGAAAAAAACAGTGAGATCTTGAAATTCACAGGCAAGTGGATGAAAATTAAAGAAACCATCCTGAATGAGGTAACCCAGTTACAAAAAAGAGGAACATGGTATGTACTCACTCATATATGGATTTTAGACATAGAGCAAAGGATCACCAGCCTATAATTCATACCACCAGAATCTAGGATACAAGGAAGATTCTCAGAGATTCATATAAGGTCCCTCACAGAAGGGTAAAGGGACAAGATCTCTTGAGTTTATGGGGAGTGGGGGGGCATCAGTGAGTGCAGAGGGAACTAGGAGAAAGAGAAGGGAAGGAGAGAAAAGCACATGGACTAGGAATTGAGTCAGGGGAGTATTAGAAGAGAGAGAGAGAGAAAGGGAGAGAGGGGGGAATGAGGGGGGTATGAGAGAGAGAGAGAGAGTAAAAGAGGGAGGAAAACTGTATTTAGAGAAATATCCAGAGATCTACAAGAGTGACCCCAACTAACAATTTGAGCAACAGGAGAAAGGCTACCATAAATGCCCTTCCCTCATAATGAGATCAACAAATAACTTATCCAACATCATGGAGCCCTCATCTAGTAGCTGATGGAAACAGAAGCATACACACACAACTAAACACTGAGCAGTATTGGAATTCTGATGCAGAGAGGGAGGACAAGGCCAGGCTACATACACCCACAGAGACAGCTGCCCCGAACAAGCAGGAGCCTATAGGTCCCTACACTGATAGCTGGGAATTCAGCATAGGACTGACTCAGAGCCCCTGAACATGGGTCTCAGTTAGAAAGCCTGGACAGTCTAAGGTACCTTGAACAGTGGAACCAAGATGTATCCCTGGTGCACAAAAGGACTTTGGGAGCACATTCCCCATGAAGGGATACTCCCTTAACCTAGTGGTAGGAGAGAAGTCCTAGTCCCTACTCCAAATGACTTGACAGATTTAGATGACCCCTGCTTGATTTAGATGACCCCCCCTACAATTGAATTAGGGGGGATGGGAGGTTAGGGTGGTCAGGGTACATGTGACGGTGGGAGAGCGGGAAAGAGGGAGGGAGGGATAGGGAACTGGGATCGATATGTAAAATAAAAATAAAAATTAAAATAAATAAATTATACAGTAAAGGGAAAATTTTGATGATGTGTCATATTTGTGAAATTAGACTCACTGAGCCCTATACCTGAGCAAGTGTCTAGCATTCTAATGTATTTTTCTTGTGGTCAAACTTGGAACAATAATTTCACTTGGATATTGTTACACTGTAAAAAAAATGGAAGAAAGAAACAAAATAAGCATAGGAAAGTTAAAGATTATGTTGAACAGCATGATAATTATTTAGATGAATAATTTACAGAATATGTTTTTTAATTGCTTGGTAATTCTTTTAGAAACTCCTGCACTGTGACATATATAATGAATTGAGGATTATCATGTTTGGAAGCACCACATGTAAATATATTAATAAAAACTATAATTGAACATCATCAAAACTAGGGATTATAATCTCAGACATTCTTTACATCGTTAGTAGTGAACAGTGAGTTAAGGGCATCAGCTGAGTGAAGTATCAGTGAATTGCCAGATGGCTAAAAATGCATGATGATATTCACATTCCCTATGCATTTTTTTTGTAATAACATACAGATTGGAAGAAACAAATCACACGTGATCATAAGGCTCAGATATTTCACATTCTTGAAGCCTCTAAGTCAGGTCATTGTTTCATATGTTATCTTTTATAGTTCAGATGGATCACAGGCATGACTCATAGCCATGAGTCATAGCAAAGAATGAAATGTGAAGCACAAATGATGTACATGGATATGGGGAGCAAAAGTGAATTAGAGTGAATCAACTTTCCAAAATCAGGATATCTGATAAAAAAAATTGAGGCTGATTTTCCCCTTCAACAATTTATAAGCCTATTCTTATTTCCTGA